GCGTGAAAGTCCCTTCCCCGCCCAGCACATCAAGCCTGAACGGACCTCACCCCCGACAGGAAAGTTGTAAATGAGTTCTTCTTGACTGACAGACCAACATATAGTGCTCTAGATCTGATAGATCCCGCCCCCGATACTGCCCTAGATAATGTTCGTCAAGCCCCCCTATTCCAATGTCCAGCAAATATGTAACCCTTCTCCTCTCTTTCACAACCTTGCTTTTTACCTTGACGGCAGAGAACCATACTAACAAGCTGCAGCCCCATCGCAAAAACATTGACGAGATACCTGTATTATGTGCCCTAGGACAGCGTATAAAGGCGGTAGGAGTAAACTAGCACCGACCGGAAAAATCTATAAACAAGTTAGCAGAGCAACACCTAGCCACACCGGCACTCTCAGATTCTCTGAATGGATCCCGGATCGTTGGTTGTCATACCTACTTCCAATCACGGGGGATCACTCGGGAAGCGGGCTGCTTGCGGTGTTGAAACATGGCTTCTGACACTACCAGTAACGGATGTTGTGGCATCGTTCAGACTATTACTTCTCTCCTTGCATCAATTCGTACCCCAGGCACACATCTAGGCCTCCGGTACTATTGAAGATACCTCCTTACATTTCTTGTTACTGTTCGCTCAACCTTATTGTCTCGCTCACAATAGTAGATAGTAAGAGCTGCTCGCTCTTCCTTTCTAGACAATTAAGCATTCATCGTTCTCTATCACACAATCTTCTTTGCCGTGCAAAACACTCCTCACAGTACTTTCACAATATGCGGGGCGGGCTCGGGGGGAGTGATCCGGAAGAGCTGGTCAATCCGACTACAAGCAGCCAGGACTGAGTGGTCGCCTTCGTGTCCCAGCGCCTTAATCTGGTTAGTTACAGTACATATTGGTGGGGTCTCTCTCGTATCCCTTCTTCAGCCCGGCGCATGTCCGCTTGGGTGACTGAAGGATTGGAATTTCCTTTTCTTTATCTTTTCCCTTATTTCCATGATATCCCTTGCGTTGTTTATCGTGTCATTGCCTTCGTCGCTCATTAGGTTCCGATTCGCCCAGCTGATTACTATTCCCCTACGGGGCGCGCTTTCCTCAATGAGTCGGGCAGCATGGAATCATAAGGTCGCATCCTAAAAATTTCTCGTATGATATCCTCCATAGTACCCCTAGCCTTTGGGAATGCCCTGCTGATCATCTCTTTCTTGTTATGATATTATCATAATATTACTATCGTAAAAAAAATTGTGATAAAATCCTGCAGCACCCCAAGAGCCACATTAGAAAAAATAGTTATCTGGAAGTCTCTTGCTATTCTCGGGCTGTCAATAGGTATACCTCCCAAGGTGCAAGGACGAGTTTGAGAACTTTAAGGGTACGACTGCACAGCTCCCGTGCAATCTCGCCTGCAAAGTCCTTCGCAGGAAGAGAGGTATGTACCATCGTGCCCGAGGATCCATGTATGTAGTTAATATTTTTTTATAGAATGTAGTACCAGATTGTAGCGCTCACAAAAACACTGGTACTGTACAGTACCCGAATGCAGTGTCTCCGTTGCTCTACGGTATGAGCCTCTCGCCAAAGGTCATGAGTAGGTTGGCATTTTATACCGAGGGGGGGGGGGGGGGGGTTGGCTACGCCAGGAAGTCTCATCTTGGTTGCTTTGATAAAATTAATTAAAATTCGGTAAGTTTCTTGGGATCATAATATGGAATTCTGAAAAAAAAAATAGTAAGCTCTATCAATAAATTTTGGTGGAGAAATATTAAAAGGATTGTGAATGGCCCAAAGATACCTTTAATCGTACTAAATTTCTATGAAGCAGGCACAATCCAAGACACGCATAGATCTTTAGCGATCAGGACTCACACAAGGGCCACAAAAATATACAATTTTTACTGAAATAGGCTAAGCAGGTGTAACGCACGTAATGCTACTTTGATTAATTCCATCCTCTTTTTGGGTGAGTTAATAACCCTTAAAGTGGTGTAGTTTGGTGCAAAACGTGATGACTTTTGGTATAATACGAGGATCGTAAGCGGATTAGTACGGGTGCCTCGCAGCTTTTCCCACACAGCGCCACAAAATAATAATCACTTTCATGTGCCCTCGAGCACAGTGATTGTATTGTGGCGTGGTCTTCGTGACTACTACTAGTAAGGCACCAATGCCTGCGCAAGATACGGTATTTCCGTTGTCCGGATTTTACATTTAACAATAACACCGTCATTGCCAGCCACTTTCTGGAGGTCTACTAGATGAGAACCACAATGAAGATTTGTGGTAATGACTCCAAGCTTGTGGATAAGATCGCTACCGCGCTCAACTTGGATAGAAAATACTTGGCAAAAGAATTGTACTGAGTACTTTGACATCCTTATGCTTTGATTGCCCCCAGGGCCCTGCCACGGTAGCAGACCTCTCCTTGCTCGGGGATCTTTCCAAATTGGATCGTGCTCCGGTACGATAACGATTAGGAGCAACCCCCCGTTTAGAGCTCGCTCGCGTTTATGGCCTCCGGGAGGCTTACCACGACCAAACTTCACTAGATGACCGTGGAAAGAGTTACGGGACATTAGTACTGGAGGGTCCCGGATGCTGGCCCGGTGTGCCTAAGTAGTGGCTACATTTGGTGTTGGTGGTGTCCGAAGCGTGAGAAGGCAGGAAATAATAATAGGAGTTTACTCATGAAGAGTTTGGCTTCTTTTTGTCTCCCTGAACCATGTTAACTTTCTCTTATCTATGGTGGAATTTCCATACATGAGCGGTACACCAATTGGATCGTGAGCTATCGAGGAGGAGGATGATTCAAGGAAGTTTTCTGATGGAAACAATCAAGTTTGAGACCCATTGTACTTGTATGAGTACGGTACCGGTGTGGCAGAAAGCAGGTTTTAGGGGGTTTCTGGTCATGTTTCGGGGGCTTTTACCCATAGAATTTTCCGTTTGGGAGGAGGCTTAGCAGGTGGACAATTTTCATCTAGACGCTTAGCCTTGCCTCCCTCTGAGAGAGAGAAGGACCGGAGATACAAACAACCCACCTGTACCACCAGCAACACCGCTTTCCTTTTCTGTTGAATTCAAGTTCTGTTTTCCTCATTTCTCATCCCTCTTATTTACTGTGTTTTACTGTCAACTTTATCAGCAGACGAGTAATTATACCCTCTTATCCGATCCTATATCACGTTGCTACTGTCAACCCTTTTGCACGGGTGCCGGCTCAGTTAATCACACCGTCCAATTACAGAGGTCAACAGAGATACTTCCGGCAACACCCTAGCGTGCATTGGTCAAGTCTGCCAAGAAATGATCCAACACCTTTATTAGCCTTGCTTTTTCTCTTTTTTCTCCTAGAGCCTAATTGCGTACTTGTAATAGGGTCCATACCGGACAGCACTGAAAACCCCACTCCGAAGCATCGGATACCTGTATACTCCTATCACAGTGCGAATCCCCGAGTCCGGTGGCCTGCCGAGGGCTAAATTTAATTGACCCCACAGCACTGGGGTGAAGAAAATTCGACAACTCTTCCATCCTTTCCCGAATCGCTGGCCATGAATGCGCCATACGCAATTCTCCCGACAATACGTGCATGACACAGCGAATCGACACTCTTTACCTATAATAACAATGGCGATAGGAAGAGTTAGCCGTGTCAAGTTTCCTGCTCCGATTATGTAAACACCGAGAGGTGCTGCTGCGCCGTTCGCAATCGTGGGTCGGGTGGCAGACGGCCCAGAGTCTCACTAACATCCTGGAGTATGATATTGTATTGCACTCGAGTACAGCCCTACCTTTGACGAATTAACCCCCTGCGATAAAAAAACACATCTGTTAGTCATTGGACCAGTTTCGTCCCGAGTGAAGAGTGTGGAGCCCTCCTCGTTTTAGGTGTCGCCCGACCGAAGGTACCCCCCGAGTACAGTACTCGAGTAACATACCGGTAGGCAGGGGTCAACGAGCACAGGGGCTCAACGAACAGACCAAACATAACCACCGTTCGCCAAGACCTTTTTCGTGTATTATTCGCTGAACCCCCCTGTCCGTTGAGCCTCTGTCCATCTTACTCGTACACGTGTCCCCTACACCTTACGTGACGCAAAAAAGTAACCAAATACAAATTACCGGCAAGAACTTGAACATAGAAAGGCAAGGGAGAGAATGCGAAAATTGGGGGAGAGGGGAAAGGGAGAAGGGAGTCAAGAATGGAAGATCAGAAGGAGAGACTATAATATTACAGGAAGAATGGAGAAAATAGAGAGAAAATACTTGTAGTACCAGTATACTGGGATAACGCGAATGAGCTTCAAAAGCCGATTAAGCGCGAAGAGAAAAAGGTAAAAGAGCCTGAATATTTGAGTCTGGATTTAGTATTTGTGCTCAGATGAGCACAGACAGTTTGCCACACAAATTTTTGACCCCTGTGTCCAGGTCCCTGTTGCCGGTAACCTGTTGCACCGATCGACTTGAGGGCACTCTTGGCAGAGGTCCAGGTCTAGTTTGCTGGGCAATCTTTTGACCCTATGTCCAGGTCCCTGTTGCTGGTAACCTGTTGCACCAATCGACTTGAGGGAACTCTTGGCGGAGGTCCAGATTCAGGTCCCAAAATGACGAAGCTCACTCTTTGCTTTCCTTACGGAGGTACAGCCGGTAAGTTTTGTATATTTTACTGGCAGGGGAGTTGCACTACTCGTAGCAAGCAGGAGGTATTCGATAATACGAGTTTTGGGTTTGCGCCGGTGCACCGATGCTCACTGACTTTTTGGCACATATTTTTTTAATCCCTGATGTCGAATACTTCTTGCCTGTAACGAGTAGTCCAGGGTGAACGGCTGAATTAGGTAGCGACGATACCGAATTAGCTGCAAACATACCCAATTCACTCCCTCATCCCTGCTAGTAAATATACAAAACTTACCGGCTGTACCTCCGTATTTATCCTACATTCCTTGCCTTCTTAAGGGTTGCCCCCAAACCGAAAGCGCCTCCAGAATGATCTCTAGCTGCCCTACAACTATAAAATAGCCAGAATACCCGCCTACTGTCATTATGGATGTCGCTTTAATCATTGGGATCTTGGGCACAGCAGATATTTGCCTTCGGTGAGTTCTGCAGCCGCCGAAAGGTCAGAAATTTGCTAATGTATTCAGAGCCGGCCAGAATGTTTGCCAACTATACAGCACGATCCCAGGCGCGCGCAGAGATATAAACGACCTAATCGTTCGGGTCGAAAACGTCTGGGTACATATTGCACACCATTTAAGGACGATTCAGCATTCCTCCGATGCGGTTCCTGATGCTCTCAGAGGGCACATGGTGGATCTTCTCCGCCAACTGGAGTTCTGCTTGCACACCACCTACAGAAATCTCAAAAGGGTGACGGACATAAGGGGGTGGACCTTCATGAAAAAGATAAAGTTCGCTCTTTTCCTGAAGAGATTGTTGCAGAGAGATGTCACGGCATTAGAGAAGTGGAGGGTTGCGTTCGCTTCAACCTTTTTCACGCCGTCTACTTCGTAAGGCCTTAAAACCAGATCAAGTCCTCCCGAACGAAGTCAAAAATAACCCACGGCCCGTATACAGTCCTGCACCGAGCGGGTCGTTGACAATTTTCGTGAGGAGTATGGGAGGGGAGTTTATTATGAGTTTGTTTGAAACTTAATGTCTGCGGCCTCCTACTTGTAGAGTCGGAGATCGGGCCAGGGGATGCTATTTTTTCTGATTGTTATGACCGTTCCTTTTATTTAATTTCTTTTATTCATTTTTCTTCTGATAATTATGGACATTCTTTTCTTGCTCCCTTAGTGTGTTTTTCAACAGTATTTAGCGAGTGCCTCGTTTGGTGGGCTGTTTTTTGGTGTTACGATGCATTGAAGTTGGGAGAATTAGGCCATGACTTGGCAAGATGTACTAGGGTACAAGGGTAAGCGCGGCGATGGCAACAAAATGTCTGAGATTATTGCCATTCTGGGTGTCGCTGGACTTTTTTCCCCCATACAAAAAAACCGTCCAAAACACGTTTCTCTGCGTACAAACCCTAGTTACCATATGGATGTCGCCCAACTAACTGCACCCCCCGAGTATCATACTCGTATTTGTACGGTATTATACTAGAACTCGGGTGATATTAATCCGTATGATACCTGACTGTGCCAAGGCTCCCACAACTCTGAATGGCGCGGCACTCCAACGGGCGCCGCTCTCCAAAAAACGCAGAGCTCAAGAGGGCGTCTCTCTCCAAAAAGTGCAGCTCCCAAGTGGGTGCCACACTCTGAAAAGTGCAGCTCCCAAGTGGGTGCCACACTCTGAAAAGTGCAGCTCTCCAGAGGGCCGCTCTCCAAAGGGCGCGGAGTGTCATTCGGAGTGTCATTCGGAGTGGTGGGAACCTTGGCACGGCTAGGGGGTAAGCATAAGCGAGGGGAAGTGGAAGCTAACAGAGGCTTAACTAGAACTTAATTGGCCAATGTTTGGTGAGTGTAACTGCAATAGCCTGTAGTCTTGGCATTTTTTTTTGGAAGTAAACAGTTGGGCAGACGGAGAGGCTCCGAAACCACAGAATCCCTCACTCTCCTTGGTTGAGTAACTCTGAAACCAAAGAGGACAAGCTCGCCTCACTTAGCTTACCCTTAACCCCCGGACGCAGGCTCCGGTTCTCGAGTGCAGTACCGGTACTCGAGTAGTCTATGGTGCGTTTCGACGCAAAAGAAGAACGACAGAATCCGAGACCCCTTGCACCATGGCCCGATTCTAACACGCCCCGGCAAATAAGCTAGCTGATTAGTTTACTCGTGCGCCCGGGCCTAGAACGGGCGTCTCTTTCGGAATCGCTCTCTCAACCAGTGAAAAGTATAGTGTTGATGCTGCTTTTTGAGTAGCGCGTATGTGACCGCTACTCGAGTACAGTACAATAGATATCATGAACCCTCATACAAACATTTCCACTACTATCAAATCCGATACATTTATGAAGCACAATAATTGCTCCTCTTCTAGTGCTCGTAAGACTTTCCCTCTTCATTGCTCTATTCTGAGTGTTAACCTTGAGGTTTAATTTAATCACAGGTATAAACTCGAGTACTCACCTTCAGGAGCTTTATCTATTCATCCAATTCAATGTTCTGGGGTCTGCTTGGGTATTGGGAACATGGTCTCACATATGATATCATTCTCACCAGGTGCCGGTATTTGGCACCATGGTCTGAGTTGCTCAAACAGCACAGCCACTATACCTTTTAGGGGTCTCTGGGAGCTATCCCGAAAGAGGCGCTCATTCTTGGCTCGGACACACGAGTAAGCATTGCTACCGACCATCTTCTGTTACCAACCCAATGCAACAGGGCCATGTTATTGTAGATATGTTAGCATACCCGTACTGAAACGGACGTCCGGCGCGCACGGCAACGCTTGATCATTCACCATCTCAGGGTGGGCTCCCGCAACCAAACCTACGATACCTCTACTAGGGCACAGAATTGAGGCAACTATTGAGGGGGATGGCTGGTATACAAAGTGTCAATTTTAATTTATGTATTTTGTTGCTTTGGTAGCCATCTATTGAGAGGTTGAGTGTTCAGACAGATGTCCGTACGGTTGTGTCGCGATGCCCGGTTAGTCAGAGTATTATAACGTAGAATACAGTCCTCAAACCCAGAGCCTGGAGGGCTCTCTACTCCCTCCCGGAAGTCTCGACACTCGGGAAAAAAAGAAACCTCTTCTCCACCTTCTGGTGATCACTTATATCCTATTCAACGACTTCACAAAAATACTGACTCGGTAACAAACCGGCACCCGGACACTGGACTTTGAGGAAGGCATTAGGATGGTTTGTGGGGGGGCGTGCGATGATCAAGGGAATCCGGTAACTTATGAAGGAGATGGGAAACCAACCGGATCGGCCGAAAACACAACCCGACCCGTATGATACCAAAATAAATACTTAACTACTTCTTAGCCCTTCGGTTTTCAACAACTATAAATCTCCTCCCCTCTTCCCGGAAATGCTAATCATGGTCACAACCGATGAAGGTAATGGAAAGATCGCTTGCAATTTCCTCAACCCCTATGCTGAAGTTTTGAATGCCCGGCAAAAAATTGTCATGCCTAGGCTTCCTCAAAGTAGCTCTTCGCGCTCTTGACCTCGGACGGTTGTTAGATATTGGACAGAGACAGAGTGCGTGTTTGCTGGGCCCTGCTCATGCAGTCAGGTGTCGTATTTGATCGCTGGTCATGCATTTCGCATCTAAAATGGTGCCTGCATTTCCTAGGTTTGAAGCATTATTAGGAGTTATCTAATTGCAGATATTCTTCGCCCGGAATTATTTAGGTATTTTGACAACAGCGTGAGGATTTGGGGAAGTGCTCGCTGCTAGAGAGCCTGTGTAAATCCCATTGGGGATCTTTCGAAAGCCACCATACAAGTTGTAAGCCCTCAAACATTTGCCAGCTCTTCTACAGAAAGGATTCCATAGCTGAAGTCCCCAGGTGAATCAGTGGTGTGAGTAGTGAAATGTCGAACCCTAGATTCTGGGCTATCATAACTGAATGCATATATCAGCGGGAATTTATGCCTGTGGGGGTAACGCAGTGGATTCGAATGGCTCATATTTGCCCTTTGGCCGCATCCGTGTGGCCTTTCATTCCGAGGCCTGGATCACCGGAAAATCGATCTCCCCACCCCACCCACAAAAAATACCAGAACCTATAACGGCAGTCATCCACAACCCCAGAAGATTGCCCACAATATTATGGCCAAATCTGCTAGCATTCTGAATTCTGGCGAATAATGGGGAAACCGACTTCTTCAGGGGATTGACAAACGGTAGAGTTTTAATATTTCTCTAATTACAGAAGCGCTAGAATATAAGGATACATGTTTTAGGTAGCTGTGTTGGGGGGTAAGACTGAGAAGCATACTAGAATAATTAGACAGCACCGGGGTAGAGAACGGGGAAAAGACTCGGAAGGATAGCAGAGGGTTGGTAGAGCAGACGAGTAGGGCAGGCAGTTAAGTGGATCAAGTAGATCTATATGAGACCCTCATGAAAGCCGTCACTGTCAGGGAAATCATAAACTGTTGTATAATATGTTGTGAGACCCTATCTTAGAATGTAGAGAGATAGGTGTTTTGATCCGGGTAGAACACTCGTATTTTGGTGTATATATCCGAGGATCTTGGCACCTCCCTTCCAGGATGCATCATGAATTGGTGAGCAGGTACGTGGGTAAGTACAGAGTCCGCGGGAATATACTCGCGAGAGGAAAAGCGCTAACAGCAAGCGACGCTACTGACAAACAAGAGAGAAAAAGAAAAGAAACGGATAGGAGGGGATAATTCCTGGTGACCCGGTGGTGGTATTGTGGCAACAGAGCCTTCATCCATCTGCTCACTGTCCCATGGACTAGTGAGGATTAAAGCAGAAGAAAAAACCAGCATCACCATCTCAAACCCCCACCCCAACCGCCACTGAAAAATCCTCCGGTGACACCCCCCTCCTCTCCGCCCCCTCTGCCGCTCAACATAAGACTGATTCTCCATGGCCCATGCCACCGCAGGAATATACATGACAGAGCTATCTCTGGCCTCACTTTGCACCTGTTCCGCGACATGAATAGTATTGCAGTGCTAGAAGACGTAGTCGCCCCGCAAGATGCGGGGTACCTGTGTCATTGCGTCGTCGGAGAGGAGATGCGGGTGTGTTGTGCTGCATTCCTGACACGTACTCTGGAAGCAGTTTGGGAAGTGAGGAACTGTGGTGAGAGTTGGGGGATCGGAAAGAGTGAAAAAGGGGCGCAAGATTGTGTATGCTGTTGTGTGCTTCAGTAGTGGGCTTGCCAGGAGGGTCCGTTCGCCAGGGGACATTATTGACAGGGAGAGCTGGAAATTGTTAGTAGACTAGTTAAGTGGGGAAGGGCGCCCGGGGGGGGGGGGAAACACCCAGTGCTGCCAGCTCCTCTGGACTCCGCAGCTGCCCGCTCTATCGTACAAACCTATCTTTGCACAAAACCTGTGATCTGCGTTATAGGAGTCATACTCCTCACTGCCACCGTCATTGTGTGCCCCAAGAGCAAATCCTGCATTGCTCGGCTGGCAGATGCGGAAGCAGTCGGGATAGGGCAGTACCACGGAGGTGTCCACAGGGGACCACGTGAGCGAAGAATGCCAGAGGGAGTTCACAAAACACTGGGATGCCACGAGAGATGGATTGGCTCTCGCAACACGCTGATCTGGGGACCAGTATAATTCGTAGACTGCCGGTGAGTGGGCGGGGAAGGCTGCACTTGTTAGCTTTCAATAATGATGCACTTATGGAGGGAAGAAACCTTGAGCCCAAGCATTGCGCCCAATATGTGCCTTCAAAGACCCCTTCATTACCAGAGCTTCCTTATCTAGGAGGAAATTCTTAAGAACCACACTACCTCGCTCCTTAATCTCTGCCATTTCCTCCTTGGAAGGACTGGCGGGGTCTCTGAACTCGGCTTGTAGAATAACCTATCAACCTATTAACACAACCCCTCTCCCACGCCCTACTCTCCTTAAGGAAAACTCGGAATAGGAGGAATAAAGAGAGACAAAAATCACTCTCAGACATTTTCACCACGGCCGTCTCCTTCCCAAGATCAAGCAATGACCTCTCCCAGGACTCTACCAGGATCCTTTCCCGTCCAGCTGTAAATAGTCCCTTTAGTTCAGCATACCTATCCGGTAGCGGAGGCGGTTCAATCCCCGATGATGATGGAAATACCGGAGAAATATCTCCACCGACTCTACCCCGTATCGTGGCGGCAGCCGCCCCACGGGCTATAAATGCCAGCTTTGGCGCAAGGGGGTTTATCTTCGATAACATTTTTTTCGCTCAAGACAGAGTTTATGGTATTGGAAGCAGCAGATCTGTTTGACCGATAAGCACTAAATCCAACACACAGGTAGGGTTCGAACTGTAAGTATACGGTATTATTCGAACACTATTCACAGCCTCGCAGGCTATCTCTCCGCTAATCCGCCGGGTTTTTTTACCCCCTAATCTCGCTTACCAGTACTGTTTCCTGTGGATAGGAGCTGGTACTTGTACGGCGAAGGCAAAAACCTGGGATACAATCGCCACCCCGGATGCCCTGTCTTTCGCCAAGGTAGGGTGTTTTTAAGGAAAGGTGGTACCAGAGGTCCGGATTGGGCCCCTAGAAAACCGAAATTAGGCACCCGGATGGACCATAATACATCCCAACAATAATGATGGAACAAAAGAACCAGTAGAACTACCAGATATTTACTCCCCCGTGTTCCTGTGGGACTTTGTTTTTCTATTTGGTGAGTGTTGGATCAGAGGGGAGTTTTGGTACTCAAAGTTAACCGGCGGACCAAGTTGCGGACTTTAGGTGTCCGACAACCATGTAGTTGTGTGGGGGCAGCACATGTTTTATCAGCATGTCCAGACCCTGGTGATGAATTATTGCCACCACTGGGCCGCATTTTAAATAGAGTAATTCGCACTCGGGCGCTCGAGTCGTGGAGGACACTCGTGCTCTCTAGGTACGGTACTTGTACCACCGTACGCGCGCAGCCGTGATATATAATTCTCATATCCTTCAGGGTGACCCTTTCGAATAAATTTTTGGGACATGTATCTGGGGGTATTGCAAACCTTTGCCGCGGTTCGATTCTCTGGATAATAAGAGAGAGCCAAAAAAGTAGTTCCCAAGAGCTGGGGTACTTGGAAGGGTATGAGAGCTTTACGAATGCTGCCTCACTGTACTCGGATACACGAAACCAGTAGCCTCTTGGACACCCCCACTCCACTAGATGCTAGTTGGTTGATTTACTATGGGAAATCACCAGCAGATGTCTTCAGTTGCAGCTATACTATCAGGTTAACTGCAAGAAACTTTCCTGTTCACGTTGAGTGATCCGAGTGAGTGGAGATGTCAGAGAGGCTAGTGGGTTGGTACGGTTATGAGCCTAACTATTGAGTTTTTACTATCAGTTATGATGCCAGAATCCGTGGAGGGGAAGTGTGTATACCCCTCCACTCCTGTTTTGTTTATTGGAAAATGGTTGCTAGCAAGACTGCCTTTTGAAGTTAAGAACCACAATGGATTCGATATTAGAACGCAACCTACTCTGTACCAAAGGGTGTTGCAGACTTTCCGCTATCGCTTCTCGCGCTATGTCAACTGTATCATCCAGAAATTGCGCTAGGGAAGCCAAATAAAGGGTGGCTGGAAAGGCGAGTGAGAATAAATCACTCCAGGAAACTCTTTACCTCGAAAGGGAAATAGGCAAGATTGAAAACCACGAGTTGCGGCTCTAGAGTGCAATTTTCTCCCCAAATTCTTCTCACTTAGTGAGATAATAGCCGGTTCCCCACCATTTCTCTTTGCTCATACTGGTAGTCGGTAAAAGCAAGTATGGCGCAAAAAAAAGAAATGATATTCCACCCGTACAGTACTATTACAGCAAGTATTACGATATATTTATTTTTGCTGGGGTGCCGTGGTATGGAAACGATGGGTAAGTACATTATTTGCGTTATTCTAATCAAACTTTGCGGAAGCGTCATTCCTAGCCATAGAAGATGAGGATGTGGGATGAAGAATCGCTGGTAGAGTCGTATTTGCTAACTAAGACCAGAACCTAGTCACTGATAGTGTAAAAACTAAAATTATTAGACCTCCGGGTAAGATTCCCAGGACTCCCACATTTGGATTAAGGGGAGAAACCGCGGCAGAAGGACTGTCTTTAAGCCCTCGGCTGAGAGTAATGAATAGGAAAGCATGGCAGACCTTACTAGGAACCACCTCCGTGTTGAAACCCACGGCACTCACAGCTATAGTTGCAAGTCTCTCGGTTAATAGGCCTCCGAGCTGTATTTCGTTTATGTTTCGCGTTATCAGACTCTATGTATTGCAGGAAGCTGTTGGTCAGCATTGCTCGGAGGTCCTCGGTGTTTTCACGGCTCTTAGACTATGCGGGCAGGGGAAAGAACCTTTGTTAGCTTGGAACTCGGAAATAGAGTGTTTTGGAGAAGTGAGGTAAGTTCTGGAAGGAACTGGTTGGGTATCTCGAACGCCATGGAGTAACTTCCTCTTCGTACGGCTAGAGGAGTCTTGTTTTTCTGTATAAACCACCACCCAACCGGAAGGGCCAAAAGATAATAGGCTGTAGGGACAATACAAAATATGAACTGCTTTATTCTTCCTGTTTATCGTGATCCTTCTACTCCCATCGGCAACTCATAATCATACCCCGAAGCCCTAGTGGGAGGAGGTCAAATTAACTTAGATTTCTAGGGCACCACTGCCCTTTGATAAGGTATACTACTCCAATACATGCTCAGGGTGTATGTCCACCGCAATTTGCTATCTTTTCCGGGTAATTGAGTATTTGCCACTTGGAATTTGCGATTGGAGGGGTTTGGGCATAAGGAGAGCTTGCAATAAGTCTCTGGAAGGCTGAAGGAGGTCAGGAGTGTCAATAGCAGGGCCCTTTCTGGGGTCCTAATTGAGGCCAATAATTCAATAAGAATAAACCCTCCTTGAGCTTCAATACCTTTCACTGAATTCCGCGTGTGGGTCTCTGTTTTACGGGAGTCACTACCCTGGCCCTTTATAGCCCCTTTTTCCCAATTAGCTGCCGCCTGCGTACTCTTCCTCACAGGCTTAAAGTTAGTGGCCATCTTCTGCTCCCCCCTGCCCTGTACCGCAGAGACCAAAGGGCCCGAGCTAGTTAAGGACTATTGGGCGCAGTGATCCCAAGCGGCCAGTCGGGTCAGTCCGGCCTTGGTTTTGAAAAACCTGGGCCAGTCGAGTCGAAATTCTCTGAGGCCCCCAAAGCCCGGCGGCGCCCAGGCAATCGTCGGGTCGAGTCTTGGCGCAACCTAGTCGAGAGCCGCCAGATGCTCGGGGAAAGCCCCCAGATGCCCAGGTAATCTGAAGATATATATGGACGGCCTGCAGGCTTTCCACTTTTAATCACTCGGAACGAGACATCAGGAGCAACATGCACCTGACGCTATAGATCTCGCTCAAGGTAAATGTATGACATCTAGCGATGAACCCCCGCTGTACCCAAATATTCTGTCCTACCTCAAGACACTATGATATTCTTCACACAACTCTCTGGCCATCCCGGGTGAATATGTATTGTCCGCATGAAACAGTTAGTCTAGTTGAATAATGAAATATTTCTTAGTAATGAAACACACGTGATCCCTTGGAACATCGCCCTGCGGGTGACCCAGGCCGGGCCCGGCTTCGGTTTGGAAAAGCTGCTTTCCCACAGTCCGGCCCGGCCGTACTCAAAGCCGGACGGACTAGCCGCTTAAGATCACTGATTACGCGAGGTTGTCTAACTAATTTTTCTTGAATTTGGGGTCGTACGCGCTTTTGTCCTGTATGAACAATGATATATAGGAGGGAACCGGGTACCGGGGTCTATTTGGTCGTTCTAACGTCACTTCCAGGTTTCCTAGTTTATGGAACACTGCCCGTGTAGCGGGAGCCTTCTATCCCCCGTGCTAGGGGATTGCAGCAGTAGAATCTTGATACCTGCTACTAAAACTTTGCTCATTCTCCGTTCGAATCAATTTCCGGGTCCTGAGCCCAAAAGGTTAGAATTCTAGGCCATAACTAAGACAAGGTGGTGGCAGGTGGCAGTGTGTGGAGGAACTGTGCACGCTGGAAGAAACTCTCTAGCTCTAAGTACGGTGTGAGTCTTGCAGATCGTATTGGGCTATAGGTATGGAAGGTTATGGTTTAGTTTGGAAGCTACGGGGGGTGCGGTAGAATATTCGGAATGGTTCAAAGTTTGGGTGATTGTGAGAGAAGATTCTATGATTATGTTTTTCCTTTGTTATCACAGAAGAGTGCGGAAGAATGTGGGCATGTGTGGCACCGCTGAGATGGATGTAGTGATCTGGGAAAGGATCTCATTGATTTGTTGATGCTTTACTTGTACACCTGTTATCACCATTAGCTGGAAGGAACGCCGAATAAAGTTGCTATCCATACCTCTACTATTATTTCCGGAAAAAGGGCTCTGGGCAAGTCTACCTAGATAACTACATACTGCTGCGCTATATATCCACCGGATCTTGAGTGACATCCAAGAAATCGAACCAAGCAAACCACCTACCGTATTTGAGTACTATACAGAGAAACTGGTATCAAGCTGGGTCCACGAGAATCCAAAAATCCCACCTCTAATTAGAGGAAATAAAACCTAAATCATGTGGCACTTTCTTGAGAGACTGCTTGCCGGTATCCACGGCTCTCAAAATAGCGTTGAGCAGAGGTACAGTACCGGTATTTTATTTGAGTACCTTACAGCGCAATGGCCACCATCGCAATGGACACAACCCTAACTAGGATTCTTCGCAGTCCCCAGCTTGCGAGAACACTAGCAGCGCAAATGGTAAGTATTAGTATGCCGGGAGAGACACGAGCTATCATGGCGGCGGCGGGGGAGTGGAGCAGAGAGCGTTAATTTATTATTATTTTTTCCTCGTCTTCAGCAATACTGATCATTTGCATCGTTGATACTGTAGTTGTCGGGAGATGACGGATTGCGGCAGTTGGAGTTTCACGCCTTGCGATGACGACCCATCTTATCATACTCGGATGGAGGGGTTAACCTACCGGTACAGGTGCTTCAAGAAGGGTTGGCCTGCCAATAGAGGCTCAGGAGGGGCTGGCCTATCAATGCAGGTGCTTTGGGAGGGGGTAAATAGCGAAGAAATAGACTACACAAAATCATTGTTTACCAAGACATTTTAACTTGTAGTATTCGGTTGTCGTTGGGCCCGCCTGGTTAGTCGCTCCCCTTCCACAGTGATCCATGGGCGCAGCGGTA